AGCCAGACTGTTCTGAGCGCCTGGCTCCAGCTGGTTGTTGTGGATGGGAGATCTTGTTCCTCTCTCTCCCTCTCTCTCTTCTCTCTCTTTTTAAAACTTAGAACAATTACCCCCCAAAAAAGATACCTACAAAGCAAACCATCCTAAGTCAGCCAGTGGATGTGTGGTTATGTTATCAGAATATTTAATTACTTAATGAACAGTTATTGAGAACACAATTAATTCTACGCTTATGCTCCCATTTCAATATAATGATACATAGTCATTTTCAACTGACTTTGGTGTTTCCAGAATTTCTGGTTTGCCCATAGATGCCACCAATGAAACTGCGGGCATCGTGAAATAAGCCTCTACTTACTTTGTATAAGTTACGAGATGGATGCGTACTTATTATCTCCAGGATTAAAAAAACATCCATGCACACACAACACTAACTCTTTGAAAACCCAATCCCAGTGTCTCAGGAGCAGCTCAGCCACACCGCGGTGTGAACGAAGGTCAGGGATGGAGCTCCTGCTGAGGGGAAGTTCAGGGTCAGGGTGAAGCTGCCTTTACCTGGCAGGCTTTGATGTTATGTGAAAATGTTGATTCTGCAGACCAAACCTTTACCCAGCAGAGGCTTTGCTGTCTGGTCCTAAGATACCACTGATTGTTGATACTCAGCCAAGAATAGAGTGACCATTGCAGCAAGCCAATAACTCAGAGAACTGAAACACCGGTTTTCCCAGGATCTAGGAAATGGGATGTCTTTTCAAAGACTGATACACACTTACTGTGAACAGGGTTTGGAAAGTAATGAAGTATCATTCATGTATTCCCCAATAAATACTTATTGAGGACCTCCTGCTGTACTAGCTACAGTGAGGAACAGAGAGGGTGGCAGAAACCAGACATCACTGCTGCCCCTACATAATTCACATGATTCTTACGGCGACCAGGCTCAGATACGTAAATAATTACAGTACAGAATAGAAAACGATCCATGGTACAAGTGGAGGTACTAAAAGCTTCCTATCCCATATCCCCAGAAATGGTGACCGATCTCTCAACTGTTTGCAATTAGTACCTTTCTTGAATCGCAGAGCTCTATTGCAGATCTTTCTGTGGGTCACGGGAGCGTGATTAAACATAGTGAAAGGACCCCTGATAGAAGACACCCCGTCGCTGGAAACAGAACCGACACAGCGATTGCAACCACCAGCTGATCGGGGCAATGGGCTGTGCCCGGCCCTGTACTTGACAAATACACACAAGAATCTGGTCTGGGAACACCTCAGACATAGTTTCTTTGGAGATTTCCTCAATCGAACTGCCGCACTCAGAACCCTAACCAGGAAAAGACAGAGGACAGAACAAATCAATGAACTACCCAGCCATATGTTGGCAGTGAAAAACTGGGCAAACGGAAACTCTATGATGCATTATGTCAATCAGTGGATTATTCAGCGACCTCATCGTGATTGGAGTGGCAAGACTGGCAGCAATTCAGAACTGGTGAACTATCAAAACCACTTGAGCTGGACCCTCGGAGCATGCCCCACATCAGGGACCTGGGATGGGTGGGAGACGGGGTGGGGCAACGCCCTTTACCTCCCCCTTTATCCCAGATACAGGAAAAAAAAATGTGGAAATAATAGTCTTACCCACTTTCCTGTAGCCCTTGAGCCTTTGTGCCCTAATTAACTATGTAAAGATTGTCAAAAATAAGGAAAAAATAGCAAAACAAAAAGATACGAAAATATATATATATACATAAAGCAAGCAAACAAGCATCCCATCGGTAGCACACCTCCGGCCCCGAGGAGGCCGTCCAGGAGACCCAGACATCGGGTTCCTTGTGGTCTGGAGGATGCCTCTCCCAGGTGGGCCTGGGTCTGGGCTGCACCTGTCAGTTATCCCTACAGAGAGCCTGGTGTCGTCGCAAGAACAAAGCAGTCAGGATCTCACTCTGTTTCGCTTTCCTGGCTGTGAGATGAAGGGTTTTGAGGAAGTGAGTCTCTCTACAGCTCTTTGGGCAGCTAAGCCCACGGGGAAAATTCTGGACTCTTTACCATTTTACAGATGGAAAATCTAAGGTCAGGAGAATGTAAGGGGCTTGTCCATAACCTCAAGTAAAAACTGCTACTCAGTCCTGGCGGTTAGACACCAGGCCTCTGAAGAGAGCAAAGCATTTTCTGCTACAGCATATCCAGGGCCACACCTTTGTGGCCTAGAGTCCCACACATTGGGAATATATATTACAAATCAAGAAAAAATTCATAAACCAAATCTGATGTAGCCTCTGGCCTAACTCGGGTATGGACAACGAGGTCGGAGTTACACGTCTACTCCTCCAACCTCTCCTGTCCCGACTGCTTTCCGGCGTTCCTTGTCGCTTTACAAAGGAGAACTCAGCGGAATCGGAGCCTCGGGGAGACCTTCCCTTTTTCCCTGGCTCCAAGTCAGCCAGGCAGGGCTGATCCCAGCAGTTTGATCCCGCACCAGACGGGGCCCAAAGCGCAGGAAGTGCCTGCAGCCGCCCACAGCTCCAACTGCTGAGCCATTTCACAGGAGGGAATTCAGAGGCCCTAGTACATCCCCAGCAGCCGGCTGGGTACCACTTAGGTAGAACATTACATGCTAGAGTTCTGACTGCCCGGGACATGGTCAGCCATCCTGGCTCTGTGCCAAAGAGCAACCGCATCGCTGGTTCCCCGCGAAACTCCAGCTCGCGTGTGCGTGTGTATGAGTCAGCGCTACCACACCGCGTGCAGATGCCCCCTCCAGAACGAGTGCTGACTGACGACAGACACTCTTGTGAGATGGTACAGACGACCTGGGCCAAACCGCGAGCTGCAGTCTGTGAGGGCTGATAGTGGCTTGGGCAAGTTACCGGGCACCTCATGACCTCAGTGTGCTTGCCTTTCAAAAGGTGTTGTAATAATAGGTAAGAGGAGGAGGAGCTGAGCCAACGCGTGCAAAACGCTTGGCAGCGGTAAGGCACTGCGGAAACGCTAGCAGGGTTCTGTACAAGCAAATGTGCTCTGCCGAGGATTTTCTGGAGTTACATAAGCACCTTGATATCGCTGCTCTCCAGCAGTCAAGGTGAAGGCAGGGGTGAGCCAAAGGTGGAGGGGCTCCCGCCCCGTCCAGAGCAGGGCACTCCCGCCGGGGGCCCGCAGCATGGGGGAACCGCGCGCAGGGCTCTGGAAAAGGTGAACTCTCTAGCGTGCTCATGAGTCACAACGGCACGAGGAACCGAAACCCGGAGTTGGTGCCCAGCCGGGCTCATTCCTGCGATGCAGACGTTAGGTGGGCGGGCAGCGGGCACGGTCCCCGCCCTCGCCCCGGGGCGCAGCCGCCAACGCCGAGTCCTTGGGCAGGTCCCGACACCTCGGCTCGGCCGGGCACCGGCGAGGCTCGGGACAGGTCGGAGCATCTCCCCGGCTCCTCCCCGGAGCGGGCACGCGGGCCGAGCCCAGCCTGGCAAGTGGGCGCCCGGAAGCGAGGACGAGTCCTACGGGGCAAGCCCGGGCAGCCGCCCCAGCTCTCCGGGAGGAACCGACTCCCAGTGCCCAAGTGTCCTCTCCGCCAAACTTTAGCTGCTTCTCGCGCACGGTGGGGGGAGCTGCCAGGGGCGCCTCTCAGGGCCAGTCGTGACTGGGCATCGGCGACTCCGAGGCAACAAAGAACTATATTTAGTTCTGCGTTCCCCGCCTAAAATTCCTTGTTTCCCTCCTCGTTTCCAAACGACTGGCTTGGGGCAAGTGGGCGGGAGGGGGCGGGGAGCGGCGGGGAAAGAACAGCTGGGCCTCTCCGCCCGAGCTCTATAAATATCCCATGGCGCGCGGAGGCTACCTTGCAGCCAATGGAGCTGCCCCGGCGGCCGGGCCTGCCCTGGGCGCCCCTGCCGGGGTGTGAGAGTCGCGCCCGGGGCCCAGCGAGGGCGGAGCTGGGGGGGAGCAGGCGCAGGGGCGGGCGTGTGGGTGTGCACTGCCGCAGCAGCTTCCTACTTCCACGCGCCCGCACCGGCTCGGCCCACTGAGCATGCCCCGGCGAGCGGCGCGGCCTCCGGCCTCCGGGTTTTGGCTGCGGCGCAGGGCCGGGTGGAGGTGGGTGGGTGGGACCTCGCCGGAGAAGGAGCGGATGCTCCCCTAGACGCCCCGCCGCCGTGTCCAGGCGGGACCGTGCGCCCGGAGCGCGGGCTGCACCTCCCCACCTTGTGTCCTTTGTCCCAGGGTAGTGGATGCTCGGTGGTCCCCGAGCGCCTGTGATGAGGGGCGTCGGTCCCGCCGGCCCTCCAGGCTTCTCCAAGAAGCTTGGAAAGGAGCGGCCGAGCGCGCCGGCGCCTCCGAAGGGCCCGGCTCCCCGGGGCCTCCCGCGGCCCACGTTCCATCTGCAAACTCGCGTGGCTCCCGGAGCCTCCAGCCCCAAGCCCCGAGTCCCAACCCCCCGAGTCCCCGCCCTCGGCTCCGCCCCCGCTCGGCCCCGCCGAAAACCCGGAGCGGCGGCGCGGGCGGCCGGGGCGCGGCCGGCGGCGCACTGGGCATGCTCGCGCGCGCCGGGGAGGGCCGGGGAGGGCCGGGCGGCGCGCGGCGACTAGGAAGCCCTTGGCCGGCCGAGGCTGCAGGCGAGAGCGCGATGGGCCGCGGCGGTGGGCGCACGTCCCGCGGGGACCCATGCCACGAGCGGCCCGGCCCGGCGCGCAATTAGCAGCCGCCTCCGCCTCCACCGCCACCGCCGCCGCCTCCCCGCGCTCGCCCTCCGCCGCCGCCGTCCCCGCGCGCGGACTGCCGGCATTGTCCTCCGGTCCTCCGCCGCGGACTGCCGGGGGTGCGCCCGGGACCCGCCACCGCCGCCGGCCGCCCGTGCTGCGACCCCGGTGCCCCGCGCCTGCCGTCGGCCCGGCGAGCTCCCCAGGCGCGCGGAGGCAGCCGAGCCGTCCCGCCGCCGAGCCCTGCCCTCCGCGGCGCGCAAGCCCCGACGGGGCCGCGGCGGGCGCCCGGCGAGCCCTGCCGGAGCCATGAGAGAGTACAAAGTGGTGGTGCTGGGCTCGGGCGGCGTGGGCAAGTCCGCGCTCACCGTGCAGTTCGTGACGGGCTCCTTCATCGAGAAGTACGACCCGACCATCGAGGACTTCTACCGCAAGGAGATCGAGGTGGACTCGTCGCCGTCGGTGCTGGAGATCCTGGACACGGCGGGCACCGAGCAGTTCGCCTCCATGCGGGACCTGTACATCAAGAACGGCCAGGGCTTCATCCTCGTCTACAGCCTCGTCAACCAGCAGAGCTTCCAGGACATCAAGCCCATGCGGGACCAGATCATCCGCGTGAAGCGGTACGAGCGGGTGCCCATGATCCTGGTGGGCAATAAGGTGGACCTGGAGGGCGAGCGCGAGGTCTCGTACGGCGAGGGCAAGGCCCTGGCCGAGGAGTGGAGCTGCCCCTTCATGGAGACGTCGGCCAAAAACAAAGCCTCGGTGGACGAGCTGTTCGCCGAGATCGTGCGGCAGATGAACTACGCGGCGCAGCCTACCGGCGACGAGGGCTGCTGCTCGGCCTGCGTGATCCTCTGAGCGCCCCCGCACCCTACCCGGCCGCGCTCGGCGCACAAAAGCCAAACCACCGACTCTTCTGCAATGTGATTCTTGGTGTTTTTTTTTTTTTCCCCCTCCCTCTTTGCTTTGAGATTGGAGACAACTTTGCAAGGGCCGGGGTGCTCCCGGGAGCTCTGCCGGCCTGCGCGCCCTGTGTTCCAAGGGAGTGTCCAGTCCTGACCATCCGACGCCCTGGTGGAAGTGTGGCTCTGGTTTTTGGTGTTTTTTTTTCTTTTTTTAAAATTTTTTGCAGCATGTACATTTTTCGTTGATTTGGGTTGACGCCCGTTGACACCCCCCCTCCGCCCCTCCTCTTCTGAGTCGCCCGAAAAGGCTCTGTTACTGCCAATTCGACACCCGGCAAGCAAAAAAGTTTCAGCTGCAAAAAGATGGGGGGAGGGGGAAAGGAAGTGGAAGGGGAGAAGGAGATGAGGCTGGGGGCGGGGTCCTCCTTTTTGTGTGTGTCTATGTGTCAACAACTGTTTTCTGGTTCCAAGTTTTAAATACCTGGAAGGAAGCCCAGGAGAACCATATGAAGGAGCAAGGAGGAGAGGAGGAAACGCTTGAGTTTTTCCCTTGTTTTCCAGGAGTAGCTGGAAGTTAAGATTGGGTTCCTTTTCTGCCAGCTTGGAAGGGCAACCCCGTGACTGCATCTGAGGCTGTCTATGCAAAGTTGGATTCTTGTTGCCGTGTATCCAATCGGAAGTATTGCACACGTGAACTGGGACTGTTAACACTGAGGCCAATACAGTGTGGGGTGCCAGAAAGTGTCTGCTGATATTTGTGGAAAGAAAAAAATTCTATTTTGTTTACCTACTGTATCAAAAGGGAGTTGGGGGGGTGGGGAGAATGGTAGTATTTTTTTTTATCAGCTGTGAAAAAAAAATTGTTACAGATCTGCACATTTGCCTGTGTACCAGTGTGTGTATGTGTGTGTGTGTGTGTGTGTGTGTGTGTGTTGATAAACCTAGCGCTTTTTTGATGTTTAATTTTTTTTTTTTTTAAGATTCTAAGGATTTGCTTTTTAAGACACAGTACAAAGACTTTGTGCGTGTGATTCAGGGCCCCCAGCACCCCTGCGTCTGCAGAGTGCCTTCAAAACTCAGCTGGTCCAGCCGGTGCCAACCTGTGAACTTCCCATGCCACCCCCCACCTGCTCTTCCCCCAAACCACTTGTCAGTGTCCTTGTAGCAATCTCCCAGCCAGGACAATAGGCCTGTTGTTCAGTGAATTTCTTTCATTATGTTCAGCCTTTAAAATGTAATTTCCATGTTTTGCAATGGGTTGGTTTCTTTTTTTTTTTTTTTAATTTCTGGGCTTCATTTTGTTCCAGTGTTCAGGTTAGCTCGTTCTTGATATTGTTTTTACTTTTTTTATTATTATGTGTTATAAGATGTTCCTTCAGAAGCAAAGAGTAAAATTTTGCTGTTGTGATGTACCAAGAGAATTCTAATTGTAATTTTTAATTCCATGCGTCTCCTCATTGTCTCTTCATTTTAAGACTTTTAATACAGATGTCGTTTTTAAAGAAACAAACCCAAAATTACTGTTTGTGTTTCTGTGTTTCGTGTTCTGTGACTCAATACAGTGTCATGGCTGGAGTGGACAGGGACAGGTGCGTGCTGGTCCCCAGAGTCGCTAGCCATCACGGGAGGATGCAGTGGCTCGGGGTCCAGCTGCGCCACCTTCTCATTTCCATGCGGAGGAATCACCGCGCAGCGGGGTGTGTTGGAGCCCCTCACTGCACTGTAGGTGGGAGAGGGGAGAACCGGCTGCTTCTCTGCCCTGGGAAAGGAACCATCTGTCCTTCCGGGAGAGTAGCGTGGTACTTTCACATTTTTCTTCCTTTTTTTTTTTTAAAGATGATGCATGATTAAGTGCAAACAATATTTGGGGAAGATGGTTTCCAACTCTGAAGTCATCTTGTGGGTGTTTATTAAAAAATGTCTTTTATTTATTTATTATTTTTTGCATTATGTTTGTATGCTTTAGATCGTGTCTCAGCACTTTTCAGGCATTTAGCTTGAAAGGAGATTTAAAACAAGACAGAGAAGAAAACAGGCCGAGCCAATGGTTTTGCTCTCTTTGCACTGTGTAGCTCTGCGGGCCAGGTTTGACCCCTTAGCTTCTTCCTCCTGTCAGTAGGAGGCAGTGCGAGCTTTTTATTCCTGTTTTTGTTCATGAATCCTTCAGCCAGTAACATAACCTGCAGAATAAGAAAGTCTTGTGGTTGTATATATTAAAAGTATGTGTTATACTTTAGGTCTGAAGTGTAGCTGAAATCTGAAGAGTCTTGGAGAAAAAAAAAGGATATATTTTCTTGCCAATGCCAAAAGAAATTACAAGATATACCTGTAGTCAAATCTCGCCTTTCTTTCTTCTTTTTCTTCTTCCTTTTTTTTTTTTTTTTTTTTTTTTTTGGTGCAGAAAGCATTTCATTATTCCATTGTGGTGGACGAATAGAGTTTTGCCTGTAATGGTCCAGTTCTCATTTTGCATTTTTAAAAATTTGCTCTCATTTCAGTTCAGTTTATTAGCAAACATAATAAGAAGACAGTATTATAGATATTTTAAATGTAGAAGTTGAGAGAAAGTGCTCACACCTCAGCTTTTACAAAGATGCATTTCTGTATGTGAATGAATTGAGTTGCTTCACAGGTCTAAAGTGCTGAAAAATTGCTTCACAGTGTGTCAAGTGAGGAATGTTTTTTTGAAAGGCGTTTGATGATTGTGTTTTTTTTTTTTTTGAAAGAAAGCCTTTTGACATTAAATGCTGCGAAGTTTCATATTTCAAAAAACGTACACCCTCCTGACAGGATAGATTTGGAAGCAGAAAATTGGAGATGAAATATGCTGTGGGTGCGTTAGCCACCTTCTCCCGGGTTGGAGTCATTTGCATGACTCAGTTCTGGAGAGTTCCATGGAAGCAGAGCTGAAGGGCTTATGACGTTTTTACTGAATGCTGTGAATGCTATAAATGCTCTCCGAATTCTCAGCAAAAGCAATTTTCTGTACCTAGAGCAGAAAAAAAAAAAAGGCAGTTCTGTAGTTTTTGACATTCTCCATTGTTTTCTTGACAAAATTGAAAGAAACCAGTTCTTGGGAGAAAAACAAAAAGTGTGTTTTTAAGAATATGCCAGTTGATTTGGCCAGTGAGAACTCCTTCTAGTATTCTGGTGTGAAGAGATAAAAGCATTTGTTCCAGGGAAGCCTTGGGCTGACTTCAGAGTGTGAAAGGAAGTGAGTCAGGCAGCGAGGCGTGCAAGGCAGTCACCTGTCAAAACAGAAATGGGTGGGCAAGGAGCCTTTATCTTAGGGAGCAAAGTCTGACTTTTAAACTTGACCCCTGCTGTGTTTGTTTTAAGCAGCTTCTCCTTGTAGGCCTTAACATTCATTCGTGTTTTCTGTCATTTCAAAGATATATATATATTTTTTTCCTCCTTTCCTAATAGTCCCAGCAAAGTTAAAGGTATTATCTAAATGCAATCTTTTCAGCTTTGCAAATTAAGGCTCTTAGGTCAAACAGGTTCTGCCTTGTTGAAATAAAGCCTTGCTGAGTCAAATTTGGGTCCGTCTGTTTGGGGTTAAAATTCCCTGTGTGTGTGAGGCTCCATTCTTCCAGATTAGTTAGGATTTTTTGCAGTGGGGGATTGGGCAGTGTTGGAACCGATCTGGAAGATTCCCCTGTGTGCTCTCTTGAGTTCCATTCCCGTGTTGTCTCACATGGAGGACATGATGGGACAAAGTTCTGTGTCACAGTGGGTCTTGAGAAGCAGCTGCAAAATGCCTGCACTTAGCTGTCATAAAACCGTTTTCTTCTCAATAGCTGGGATGCATTGCTACGGTATAAACGGAGCCAACATTGACTTTGCACATCACTGCTGTTAAGTTAATATCAAACGTTTGTCTCAGCGCTTGCTTAATTGGGAGAAACTTGCTAATGTGATTACTGTCTTGTGAAAATGTAGTAAGGTTTTCAGTATTACTCGTAGGATGAGGTGTTCTTGATTCTGGTGTCTTAGACTGACAAAAGGAATGAATAAGTGCATTTAGCTAAACCTAGCCGTAGTTCTGGTGGAGATACTTTTAATAGGACTTTTTTTGTTTGCGTTGGCTAAAGGGATCGCCTGCGTAACGGTTCTCAAATCTGACGACATACCAGAATTTGCACCAGGTTAAAAGCGCGTCATTCAGAGCCATTCTGATTTCGTACACGGTAGTAGACCCAGTTTGCTAAGTTTTTCGGTGATGGTGTTGCTGTCCCAGGGACCATCCTTTAAGAATCGGTGATGAGGCCCGTATTGAGAGTCATTCACCTTTGGCTACACGGCCTTAAGACCCACCCACTGCGCCAAGAGTGCCAGCTGCAGCAGTCACAATAATCTAACATTGAGCTCACTTAGGTTGTTGAACTGCTGCATGTAAAAGAGAGAGAGGTGCTGGAAGCAGAGTTTTTGATTTTTCTTTCTTTTTTTTTTTTTTTGATGATGTGTGCAGTGTGGTCGTTGATGACTTTAAATGAGAATGTGACTAAGTTACAGACATGGCCCAAAGGACAGAATCGGCACACCCGCCCTAACTCCCCAAAACTGGATTTGAAAGGAGACTTTGGCAGAAAGGAACGCTGGGTGGGAAGTTGTTTGTCTCTTGTTAACCCTGCAGGATTAATAGAACTGGATGCAGCTTTTCATGTCTCCAGATGAGGCGCAGGCCGTGTGGCGCTCTGGGCCGGGCACTCACCGTCCCTGTCTGTGGATGTCCTCGGATGTTCAGTTTCTTAATCAGTTGTGGGTGAGTTCAGTGTCACGTGGTCCCGTTGCTGTGCTTTCTGGCGAAACACACCCCGGCATCTTGTTTTGTTAGATCTCGTAGTGTCTGTGCGGGTTGACCAATCTCTGTGTTAAAAGATCTGGGTTTTAAAGATAGAGTGACTTTGAAAGAAACAGTGAAGAGATTTAATTATAAATTGTGGAGTTGCTCGTTTCAAGCTTCCTTATAATTCAGAGTTCAGTCCTAAGTGATAGGATGAGTAATAGTACCATTTAAGTATTCAGAATAATATAATAATGTTTACATGAGGGGCCTAGCTCAAATCCTCTTTTTAATGTCTAATATTTTCTAGATTGGGGTCAGTTGCTTGTTTTTGCCCTCATATTCCCATTGATTATTTTTTATGGAAAACTTTTTTATTTCACCCTGAGTTTGTTGTTATTTTTATAGCACAGCAGTTTAAGGCTTGTTGTGGCAGCTTACTGTTTGCATTATGGAGTGTTAAGCAAGTCTGGAATAATTATAAAAGCTGAGTAATGTTGGTTAAAGAATAGGTGTTTGTCTCAGAATAGAGTTATGAAGAAATCCGACTACACAGAGAATCAACAATTTTTTTTTTTTAAGTTCAGCTTTCCTGCTGGCAAAGGAATGTCAGTCTGTTCTGGTACTCAGATTCCCATTAAGGGTTACACATGTGCAAGGATCGCTGCTAGATATCCTTGAGCGTTTTGGTGGGCTCCATAATCAAACAGCTTTTGTTGCTTGTGATAGGATAATGAAGCTTGCCCTTTGTACATTTTCATCTTGCCTTTAATTTTCTGACTATTTCTGTTGTTACTATGGATTATGACTACTTGGTTTTGTTAAGCTGTTTGAACTTGAAGATTATGTTTATTTTGAAAAATATGTATTTTAAAGGGATCATATATTGGAAAATTCTGTGCTCCAACATGATCAGAATTGGTTTATTTTGGAATGAACTAGTTCATTCCAATGGTAGCTAATAGTCGTTAGAACTGAACCATTTTACCTTACCAGGATGAAAGAATAATGAATGACAATTTCTAAAGCCTTAATTTGTGGCATTATTTGTCTTACAAAGCAGAGTTAGCTAGTACAGCCAGGACAAGCAAAACATATTCTTATGGCTTGGGACACTGTGAATGGCTGTGTGTTTTGTAAAGTGGAGGGATAGCTATTAGCTTTCTGTCTTGTTCAACTGACCAAACTTACTTCTTCTTATAAAAAGCATTATCATATAAAATTATGTTCAATTAAGTTTGTCGGAGATTTTGAAATTGTGCAGTTGGCTTATTTGTAATAATCCTGAGACATTGCAAAAACGCCACAAATATTTTCCAAGAAAGAAAACAGATTATTGATACACTGAGAATACAAGTGCCCAAAAAAGGCCTGAGAATGTTCCTTGATTAGTGAGAGTGTGGTCACAGTAGAGGTTGGTAAACACAGGTGATTGTGACTCATTCATTGCCTACCCGGTGTCAGCACACAGACCAGGGCATAGGGGAAGCCAGGCGGCAGAAGCAAGGTAGCTGCCCTTGGTCACACACTGCAAGGACAGTCAACAGTAAGCGGTGGAAGCGTATCTTCATAGGTCACTTGTGATACTGTAGTTCACAGGGCGATAGACTAGATACATTGGTTGAACATTGGTCTTTGAAAGACCTGTGTACTGTATAAAGAAAAATGGTTCTCGTGCAGCTTAGCTGACCATTATTGCATGTGAAACGAATG